TGCAAGACCGTTGAGGGCACTGTTCGAAGTTGCATCCCACCACCGGTATCGTGGGACCTGCAGTGCAGCTTCTCAACAAAGCCTAAGGTCTGCGCACGCCTCACATGTTTTTCCACGCTGTGTTTCATGTGTTCCGTGAGTTTCACAAATCATGATTGTTGTTGTATGGTTTCATGGTTCAATGGTTTTTGTTGTATGGTTTCATGGTTTCATGGGTTTTTGTATGGTTTCATGATTCCATGGTTTTTGTTGTATGGTTTCATGGCTTTTGTTTCATGGTCATGTCCATGTACCATGCATGTGTTTCATGGGATATATGGGTTCATGTGTCATGTGTTTGGTCATGCCATGTCCATGCATGTCATGGTTTGGTTCATGCGTTTGTTTAACTGAGGCCCCAGCTGAACTCATCTGCGTAGAACCTGCAAAGTCAAGCAGCGAACGAACAACGATGAATCAACCGAAAAGCACAGAAACTTCATAGGCCAAGCTGTGAACTGCCATCTCATGAAACCTAGGCGCAATCAACACCCCCAAATTTGCTAAGCAAAAGTGAAACATTCATGCAGCTACGCAGTACGCCATTTTTTCTGACTCACACGCTCACAAAGTAGTCCCAAGCCTTGGGAAAATCAGCCACATAAAACTGCCACATGATTTCCCATCTAGACTTTATAAGGCAAAGGCTATTGTCCACCGGAGGGGAGGAAGATGAAGACACTTTTTGGCGGCCTTGAGAGGGAAAAAACGTGCAAAGAGAAAACGTGAAGCTTATACACCCCCACCTCTGTACAGGTGGTGGTGGCTTATTGATCCTAGCAGCTGATTGAACAAGTGACGACAAATGTCACATCACAAGGATCTGCCTCCAGACTGTCTGTTTGGGCACTGCTTTAGGCTTCGGATTCATAAATGACCTGAAAATTTCAAAAGTACCAACACTTTCCAAATCCTATTGCTCCAAAATCTCAGGCCTGGTTGGTGATGAAGGCGAGGGTTCTTGCGGCCTTGCTTTTGGAACACAGTGAGCCTTTGCTTTTGCATAATCTGCCTGCAGCCCACAGTCAGAAAAAAAAGGCTCCACTCAATCAAAGTAAAAATAACTAGCAGCCTCCATCTTCTCCAGCTGACTGCGAAGACAAGCAATTCGGGCCAGCCCTGGGTCTTGAAAATCCTGGCTAGCACTACCAGAGCTCAGGACAGCGGCCCCCTTCTCTTCCAGTTCTGGGTCTTTCTTGACATTGCTAGAAGCCTTGCGGTTCGCAGGTGGAGTTTGAAGCTTTGACTTTACTAAACTCACAGCTGGCATAGGTGGCGGTAGCCAATCAAATGGCTCATCAGGTTCACGGAGCCGCTGGTGAGGAAACTGAATCTTCGATTTGGCCTCAAAAAGGAAACAAACAAATTGTCTCTGCACAGTACAGAAGAATACAGCCAGCAAAGCTTAGTGTCAGACCCCTTCTATTTCTATTTTTCTGCGCTTGCTTTGCCCAATCACCTGCCAATCCATCTGATAGTTCTTTGCAAAACTCTCACAACAGGAGATGCCTGGTCAGCTTCCATCTTCCAAAAAGGATTCTGCAAAAACACTTGGGCCAAAAAATTGCGCACAAGTCACGCTTTCTCGAGACTTCATGAGTGCCACTTGCACGTGTGCAATGGATCTTTAGCTGAGCCACTGACATGAAACAGCCCAGCACACACCCGCCCAGCCCACACTTGAGCCGAGGTTGCCAGACATCGCGTCCAAACATAAACCCAACAAATTCCTTGTAAAGAGTTGTAATATTATAAGTTGAAACCCAGCAACATCCTTTACAACATTATACAAACTAACAAACCTAAAACCTGCAGTTCCCAGGGGGTGAAGCCAACGAAATGACCAAATCAGCAGGTTCACCCTGCATTTCTGATATCATTGGGTTCACCCTTCGAAATGACCCTCCAGGTTGTGGGTCACTCCCGCAAGACACTCTTACGGGACACTCTTGTGGGACACTCTTCTAGGACACTCTTGTGGGACGCTCTTGTCGCTCACCAGCGACACGCCGCGTTTACGCGAGAATGTCTCGCGCTCCCCAGTGGCACGGTGCCACGCAATCGCACTTTCCACCAAGGCGTGCAAATCCGCAGGGCGCAGGCGAGGCTTCGAGTCACGCATCATGCAGTCTAGCTCGCAGATCGGTCACTCTCGCCGAACACCGACAGTGCTCCTACTTCTTCAAGGTAGCGTGAAAAAGTCTGTAATGATTTCAGTCTCATTCTCCATCGGATCTTGACAATGTCTTCATGAGCCCGATACCGGAGACGCAATATTATGAAGCCACGGCCACGGCCAAAAAAGCCACATCGCGAGCGCGTGAAGTGATGAAGGATGCCGCCGATGCCCATAAGCAAGTGACTGAGTACAAGAGGCGGCCAGACACCATGCTGTGCCTTGAAGAAGTTCTCTTCTTCTGTCGCGGCCAGGTGGAGACCCAGGTGGAGGACAGTTCTCAGGTTCGATGTGAAATCCTCGAACCATCGCTGAGCACCGGCCCGTTGCGTTGGTAGAATCTTTCTGAGTTCCCACAGTGCGTTCTGACGAAGGTTGAGCAGCTCTTTGATCCACGCTTTGTATTCCAAATCCTCGATGGAATCGGATTCTGAGGGAGGCTAGCAGCACTGGTGCAACTGGAACTGTGCAACCGGCTTTTGCCCACTAGCCTGAGAAAACACACGCCCTTTTTCCAACTGGAATGCTGCAAGCCCTACCCTTAACGGAAGTGAGTAGATGGTCAGGCAGTGGGCCAATTGACGGCAAGGGGGAGAAGAAGGCAACAAGGGACGACGCTCTGTTGGACAGGAGGGGGTCTTCCCCTTTTCACACGCTTAAATCAACCACGTCTCTCGCAGCCACTTTTGCGCCAATGCTTGCTGTGGCTTCTCTCGCAGAGCGCCTTTGCAAAAAGGCGCAGGACGGGAGAACAGATGATGGATATAAGGACAGGACCTCGATAACACTATTGGATCGGACGCTGTCACTCCCTGCGGCGAGCTTGTGGCCATGGCACCTGCTTGGACTGCTTCCATGACAAGGCGAATCAGTGCAAGTGCAACTCTTTGTATTTCAGCTCAACGATTCCAGATGCCGACATTCTGGCGCCACTGGGCGAAGATGAACGGGAGGACATTACTGCTGAGATCAGTTTTTCAACGCCTTTTGCTCCCGAATCTGAAGGATGGACACCTTTGGACAGAATGGCTGGACGCCGCCGACGACTGCGAGAGATGAAGGATTTGGTGCTCGGCGGTGGTTCCACTGGCTTTGCAGCCATGGACCGCATTCTGGAAGGCTTGGGTAAGTATCACTACAGTAATATAATCCAACTTACCATGCGAGCAAGTCACAAATGGACAATTTGGTGCGGCTGCATGCTGCGGACCCCTCACAGTCTCTTGAGGAGACCAGGGTTCCGACGGATTCTGAAGACCATGGTGGCCTGTCCCATGCCGATTTGGCGCGCAAGCGCCAGGGGATGGTGGTTCGGCAACAGCAACTCCGATCCGGTGCCTCGTTTTGGGGCTACGTGTATTTTCAATCTCTCAGTGCACTCCCAGAAACGGTTCGACATACCACGCTGGGCACAACGGATGGATTGCATGACCTGCTCCGTTGGAGCGTTGGGCGCTTTTCCAAGCTGAGTGAATCGTTCGGTCAGCTGGGAGACTATGTCGGACAGCTCTCAGAATCGGATGCCAAGACGCAGCAGCATTTTGTCACCACGGCCACCCAGTTGCACGATTTAGCCAACGGCATTGTGGGGCTTTCTAGCTCAGTAAGGCATTGCCAGGGGAATAATCAGAGTGAGGTCGCCCCGTATATCCGATTGCCCGACCTCCCTAGCTGAAGGTCGCAGAAGACTCGAAACGAAGCTGGCAGCTTCATGAGTTTCTGACCTCCTAGAAGCTCAATCTGGAAGCTTCAAAACAGAGCTGGCAGCTCTGTTTTGAAGCAACGAGCGTTTCGTACGAGACTTCCTCCAATAGTCACGCTTCGAGTCTGCAAAACAAGCGTTTCGTACGAGACTTCCTCAAAAACTCACATGTCAAAGTCTGCAAAAAACAAGCGTTTCGTACGAGACTTCCTCCAAAAGTCAAGCGGAAACATCCATCGGAGCACACACATCAAGCAGCCCTGCCAAGCAGTTTCGCGATTCCAGCCCTCCAAACAACACCCGCTCACAATCCAATCCCAATGTCACAGCAACTTTCACCTCCACCACAACTCACTACCCCACGATTCCCTCCACCTGCCGCGAAACTTTCCGCGTCCACATGTTTAACGTGCACAAAGTACTGCGCTTGCCACGAAAATCGCGCATCCATACCTCACAGCCCGCACAAAGTACTGCACCTGCCACGAAAAGTGACAATATCATATATCATGCGAGCTTCAACAAAATTTGCACCACACCACACGTTTTGGAATGATTTCGACCCGTTCTGAGCACACTGCCATCCACCAAAATCACCATTTCAGCTGAGATTTGTCAAGAAAACAGAGCTTCGATGGGACATCCTGAAGCGCAAATCCCAATGGCACGGCCACCAACACTCCAAAAACACCACTCTCCAAACGCTAATCCCAATGGAACTGCGCAGAAAACTGCGCCACAGAAGAAGCCAATCAACAGGAAAGAACTCAACACAGAAGACTTCGAAGAGCCCAGATGTTTTTTGCAGAGCGCCAAAAAAGCAAATAGATGCTTACCCCTGCGCAAAAAGACTACTAAGGGCCAAGGTGAACGGCCGGAAAAGCCAACAGAATTTTGAGGAGGAGTCTTCCAAACCCATTCGCCGTCCCTTCGGCCAAGTAAAACATGGCTGACCTGTTTTTGTAGTGTCAAATCCTGCTTCGGGATTGAACAAACCATTTCAATCACTGTTTCAATCCAGGCAAAGCACGGGCTCTGGGGAGAATCCCCTGAACCAGCGGCGGCACGGGCACTGGCGCTAAGGAGTTTTCCTCCATCTGAGAAGAGAATGGAGGTGAAGTGGGAGGCGCCTCGTCCGGCAGAAGTGCGATTCTGCGAACAAGCTTTATTCCAAGAGAGGGTAAGTGACCTTATAGGGCCCTACTGGGGTACCTTTGGGATAGTCTATAGGGTCCTTCAACCCTCTGTTGGTTGGGAATGAGGAACGACTCGTGATTCCGCAAGAACAACCAGCCGAACCTTCGTTGGAGACTATGTCATATTTTCTCTGTCTTCCCTGGCGCCCCCGAAACCCATTATTGGCGGTTGCGAAACATGTCAACACACTCAACATCATGGACACAACTCCCATCTCAAGTTGTGCCAAAGTGATGATTGATTTGCTTCGGCCTTCACTGATATAGATCTACCCCTAACCATCATTCGACCCTCCTATGCAGGGCTTGGACCCGAAACCCAACCTGCACTTTGCTGGTCCATGATTCTTGGGGATGGTCACCCTCCTACTTTTTCATTACGCGCGCTGTTCAGCACCCGAATACCCAACACCTCCCACAAAGACGGCTGAATTGAAGTCTCAGCTTCCGCCTTTGATCGTCGAATCGTCGGAAGCCGCAGGTGCTCCCGGAGACGTCGAGTTTCCTGGAGACTTTGATTTTCTCGGAGGAGGGCATGCAGCTGGTTCGGACCTTCAGAGTGGACGGAGGGAAGAGGAGAGGTACGAAGGAGATCGGGAGGTGACAGTGACTGACAGTGACTGCTGAGTGTTTGGGAAGGAGGGTGGGAAGAACAACGGGTTTACAACGAAAAATGGATGAAGTTGGGCTAAGGAGTGGAGCTGCTCCGTGATGGAGAATGAGGAATTGACATGGGTTTCCAACTTGCCACCTGCGAGGTGAGTGATGGGGATCGAAGATGAACTTCCTGTGTTCAAGGAGGATTGGGGGTTCCACCCGATCATCTCAAAACCCTAGGATTCAGGACATTTTTAGCTCAGAATCCACCCTTTTTGTACGTACACGTCCTTTTGAGTCATTCTGTCACCGGAGACCCTCTTCCTCTGACTCGAAAAAGCTGAAACCGCGGTCGACTGTGGGTCCTCTATGGCCTTTTGGACCAACACTCACTGTGTGTGTGTGTGCGCGTTTTAATGGTGTGTAGGCGGAGTACGAATAGAGACTGTAAGATTTAGATAGAGAAATTCATCATTGTTCTATATTATATGTCCGTACCATAGATTCATTGGGTTTGCTTGTCATAAGACTACATGTGGAGACATGGTTTCTTGTTCCGCTTCTCCATCCCTTCTTCCCCTCCCTCTTCTCGCGACTCGCTCCGTCTTGGGCCACGGCGCCCGCACCAGGTGCCAGGCGAAGACGTCCAGTGTGTTGGTCTGGACGTGGACAGCGGTTTGCTGCTTTGCGTGCGCCTGGAGATGGAGGCGGCGTCGAAGGGCACCGGCACCTGGGCTACGAAGCACCGCCTTGGCCTGGCAGAGGGTGGAAGAACTGGGTGGATGGGAAGTGTGGCAGAGATGGACATCGACCGAATTCCTTACTTGGTTGGAAGGTCTTCCTAGTCCAAAGCATACAAATGAAAGAAGGAGGCACCATGTGGGCACAATTCCTGAGCTGGCGTGCTGCTGGTCCTGTATTTGGATGGACATACTACTCCAACATCGTAGAATACAGCATCCCATACGCTCTTTCCCACCCCTCGACCCCAGCCCCGTGTCTAGGAACGTGGGACGAGTGCTCATATTCTGTCTTTGTTTGGATGAGCTCCAGCCACTTCAGGGAAGTTCGTGCTATCCCTGCTCAGTTGCCAACCCCAAATACGGTCCTTTGCGATCTAAGCAGAGGTCATGTCTGGGCAAAAGCGGTCAATATACAGCCCACTTCACTCCTCTCAGGTGGCTTTCCCGAAAGATATACAGCAGGACGATCTCTTTCGGAGGAAGAAAACCTCGAGCTCTCAGCGGTGCCAGCAGAGTGGGTCAGAACCCTAGTTCGACTCTCCTATTTATAGGTACTCCTGGTGACGGGTCCTACTTTACGGTCACTTAACCTACCTCTGCAGGTGCGTTGCAACATCTGGTGTTTGATGGTTCATTCGGCCGTCCAGCCGCCGTTGCGCCGTTGCGAGCACAGAGCACCTCCATGCACCTCCGAAAGATGCGAACGCCCTGTGTTTGGGCCCAGGGCCTTGTGCACTGGGCCGTCTTGAGGTGGTTCGAAGGAGTTCGGGAGAACCCAGTCAGGAGCCATGAAGCTTTCGCTAGGGTAGTGGTGGATCAACATGAATCATTGTCACGTGTGTTTGTTTAAAACTATATGGCAAAACGGAAGTTCCAGTGAACGAGCTACGCTAACTGGTTGATCAAGATGGGCACCTGGACTGTTGGACGTGAGATCCTCCCAGAATCCAGTTGTTTAGATGGCAGACCACATGAGAAAGATGGGGATCGGAACTCTCTCTCTCTCTCTCTCTTGTTGTAACAATATAAACTTACTCTTTCACAAACTAACATGGAACCCAGTGGTTTTGGGGGTCTATGTTAATCTGCAGGGACCGAGTATTGTTTTATTAGTGCAAGAGTGAGATCTGAGTTCCCCTTCTGCCTTGGGAATAATTGGATCCACTTTGAGGGACTTGATGTTTATAAGATGATTTGGGGTCCCGCAGGTGAAGGTGGTAGAAACACCTTTTAATCAACAGCGACCTTTTAAGAAACCAGCAAACGCTAAGAACTACCAGCACATTCTGGTGATTTGGGTCCCCTAGCCTTCGCCAAGAGGATAGGGCTAGGGGTGCCCCTGTCACACATCCACCCACTGGATGGTACGAGCCACACCATCCGTCCCCTTCTCAACCCCTCGACAGGTGGTCTGTACGACAGGTGCCCCGAAGGTACGAGGAACTCCTGCACTTCAATGAATCCAACATACACATGGTCGACCTTTGACTTCTAGAGGCCTTAAACCGTATGAATTCCCGTTTGGCTTCCCCCATTCATTGATTTAATAGCGTGAATCCCAAGCGACCATTGTTTTACCAAGGATTCAACCACGCAAAAAATAAAACCAAAATCAACCAGGAGTCACATGGAGTTGGGTGGTCTAAAAAGGGCTGCTCAACCAACCTCTTCTAGGCGCTTTTCAGCTCTTTTCACATCCCAGAGGCCTCCGTTCTTCTCAGCTCGAGAGAGAGAGGCCGCCGGAACGTCCGGCCTTCTTCGGCGCCGACCTGGCCGAGGTCGGCATACCGCCACGGTGGACACGGGGCCCGAGCATCTCTTTGCCGAGAATGACCTGCAAGCCCGTCAGCTCGCCACAAAGGGAGGCGTCGGTGGATATGGAGAAAGCGCAGGACACCGCGGGGAGAGAGAGACAGTATGGAGAACTGCTTGGGGAGGTGAAGCGAAAATGGGCCATCTCAAAACCTGGTGGTGAACTTTTGGCTCAAGACCTGCTTGGACTTGGTGAACACTTGGAATTCGTTTTTCATGTGTTCGCAATCGAAGGCTGGTTCCATTGGTTTTTGAGCGGTCCTCGAAATAGCAGCTTTCACTGGGAACTGCTTGTTCTCTTTGCCAGGCTTTCACTGGAAACTGCTTTCACTGGAAACTTCTTTCTCTTTCGTTGTAAGAAAAGTCAGGTTCAGCTGCAAAACCATTTGGCAGGGACAGAGTCGTTTACGAAGCTTGACGTCGGAAGAGAAGAAACTTCCTCATGATGTGAGAGAGAACACCTTTTTGGGCTCAGTGGAGATGATTGGATACCAACAGAGGTGAGTTGAAGAACGCTATAGTTCGACTCTCCCAGCCTGGTACCCCAGGTTTTCCGGGTCCTAGCCTATCCCGGTCACGGACGGCTACCTCTCTTGGATCTGCATGGTCTTTCTGGCTGTGGATATTCCTTTGATCCTCCGTCCTGACGGGATCAGGACGGCGAGAGAAGGACAGCAAGGGCAAAGGCAGCTGCAAGGGCCACTTGGCCAACAAGGTCAAGGCTTCCAGCTTCCCGACCTCCAGGGCCTGACAGGTGAGCTCCGAATCATGAAAGACCACCCTGGGATCATCAAGCCGACGTGGAGGGAACACCACTGTGGTTTGTAGAGTCAAATATGGTCAAAGATGATCATCCGAGTGTCCAAAGTCACCACAGCTTCCAGGGGTCGTGTCTGGACCGGTGGAAATCACCTCCCCCAAAAAAGGATGCAGACCGCTGCCCTACAGAGGTAGCCAGTGACCTGAACTAGGACCCGTCACCAGGAGTACCTATATAGGATAGTCTATAGGGTTCTGACCCACCTCTGCTGGGCAGACCCGACGAACACCACTCGATCCATCGCACGTGGAACTCCTTGGTTGTTCGGGGGTCCAGGACGCGGAGCTTCGTTGGCCGGCTTGGCCTGGTCGTTCGAAGCCAGAAGGTTGCCCATAAAATGACCGGCAAAAGATGATCACTACTCTTGAAAAAGGCCTGCAAACCAGGCCCCATGACTCACACCACTGGGCCCATGGCAAGTGGTTTTTTCCCCACGTGGATGATGCCTGATGAAGCATGGTCTAGCTCGTGACGGCATTGAGGCAGGTCTGGAGGTATCTCAAAAAGCGATGAATCACTGAAGGTACAACTGAACACTCCCGGCACCTACATAACAGTGCCTCCAATCACCAAACCTGAGAAGGTACTTGGATCCCTAGGGTTGAGAGGTTCCAGTTTGGGGAGTTCTGGTTCCATGTGTATCCAACTGATCCACTTTCGACCCAAAGTGGATCAGCTGAGCAGCTGACCGTTGGCCGTTTTGGGCGGAAGAAGGGCTTTTCCCACAAACAGGCTTGAGAGGAAGATGCCGGAAGGCTCTTCGAAGGGCTGTTCGTCGCATCGCGGTTCGTTCGCTGGATCGGAGCCCCACAGGTTCTCCCAGCCACTCCAAAGGAAAATGGCACCTTGGCATCGGATGAGACGGAGGTTTGAGGAGTCACAGATGGGCGGAACGGAGTTGGCGGAGCGCCTGACTGGCGTGATCTATGCCACGACTTCAAAAGACCAGGCTTCGGAACGAGTGAAGACCAGATCGACTGTTCGGGTGCCAAGAAGAGTCGAGTGGGACTCGGACTACACGGGGACCGCCTACAGAGGTAGCCAGTGACCTGAACTAGGACCCGGAAAACCAGGAGTACCTATATAGGATAGTCTATAGTCTATAGGGTTCTGACCTGAACTAGGACCCTACAGGAGTACCTATATATAGGATAGTCGAACTAGGGTTCTGACCCACCTCTGCTGGCGGGTACACCAAATAGACACTGAATCCAAGCCGTTTCCGATTCGTGTCACCTCGCTTGCATGGCTGATCTCGTTTAATTCGTGTCTCCAGGGTCGGAAGTTCGGCACATCAGCCGTCCTTCAGGTCATGGAAAAAAAAACTGACCCAACCCCAGAAATGTCTTGAAGCAAGAACACCTGACACCGCACCCACTTTCGGTTTTAGATCAGGCATCAGAGGGAGCTGATGAGACTTCACAGACCTCCAAAACCGTTGAACAACAACACACAAGTGCGCTCTCCTCGCTCCAGCAGTGGTGGGACGACTGGACAACTCCATTGGCTGGCCCCAAATGTTGTTTTAAAGCACCCCAACTGATCGGTTCAATGGGCCGGTGTCATGGATGGTCTGAGGAAAACATATGCTCTACATCACCCAGGCACGCATGGAACTGCCAGCATGGACGGTTCAAGGGGGTGGTCAATGTATACGCATCTATGGCAGTCCCATGGAGTGTTTGGGTCATGAAGTGTTTGGGAAAAAACATGTTTACCATGTTCCCCAACAAAGGAGCCCTGACCCGTCATTGATGATTTCATCATGGTCTTCATCGAAAAAAAAATGAAGAAAAGAAACGACGTCCTGTCTTACTCATGGGAGATTGGACTACAGAGCCTGGTCATTCTTTCGTTTAAGGCTTAGGGTAATCTATAGTTACTCTAGGCTTCCTTGACCATGGAAAGGAACACGATGTGTCACAATCTGTCCATTTGGTTACACACTATCGTTCTCTTGAACTCTCCCCATCATCCATTCTCCATCCACCGGGATTTCACCATGCTTCCCCCCCTACTCCGCACGGCCAGTCCCGGTCTTCACAGCGGACGGTCCAGACGGTCTTTGTCTCCGGTCTCCGGTCATCGCCCTCTCCGAGCGAGAGCGCTCTGCGCAGTAAAGAGAGCTCCGTGCTGGTTCTGCCTCCCAGCAGTGCTGCCGAGCCCTTCATCGTGCCACTCTCCGCCGCTCGGAGGATGGAGAGACCTGGGTCGAAGGGCGGTGCCACCTTCAGTTCGACCAGTTCAAAACGGTTTAGGGATTTACTGTTGTAGCTTGTAGTGTAAAATCCATCCTTCGTACAACTACGGTTCTTCGGCTTAGGGCAAGAAGAATCAAAACCATGCATATATACCTGTCTGGAGGACTGCCGAGAAACGGCCAGGGGTGCCAGGGCGGGTCATGGTGACGTCGCCAGAAGAGTCGGGGGAACAGCCGCGGACGCCGCACTCGGATCAGCCCAGTGATCAGTGGACACGATCGGTCCGGTCGATCGGCGATCGGCTGCTGACCATATCTCTTCAGAAAGGAACTTCAGTTTGAGAATCCTTGGACCCTCCGAACTGGAGGGTCCAAGCACCCTGCAGAAACTGCAGCAGTTTGGTCGCGGAAAGTCAGGAGGTTCGGTGCGCCAGGCGTGGTGGGGATCGATGTGGCTCTCAGGTCGGCCATCCGCTGAAATACGCCGTGGAGTTGCAAGCAGCGCCCTGGTGGGATCCGATCAGGACGGGCGGGGTGGGGGGTGGGCGCTGGCGCGGTGCTGGTGGGGTTGGTGTTGGGCTGGGCCAGTCCAAACGGCTGGCAGGACCCGCAGTTCGCCGTCGCCGGGGTTTTTGGGCACAGGTAGGTAGCAGTTGGTTCGGGGCCGAGTTCGGGTCGCCTCTGGGTTCCAGAACTGGAGTTGTACAGAGGAATGGACCACGCGTGAGAATCGGATGGACCACGCTTTTGTGTGCTGAGAGTCAGAAGAGAAGCTTTAGGGATCCAGTCGTACCTTCTCAGGTTCGGTGAGCAAGGGGGCACTGTTATGTAAGGTTTGGAGGGTCCAGTCGTACCGAACCTGAGGTTCGGTACAACTGGATCCCCCCCCAAAAAGAAGAACGAAGAACGAAGGGGTTTGGAATCCCCAGGCATAGGGGAACTGTTTGTATCCAGTTCCTAGAAGTCGCTTGCATCCCGGTGTCGGCACCGTTCTCACCCAAGGGCTGCTCTGCTCTGCACCTCCAGACGAGCCTCCAAGGTGCTTGCCTCACAGAGCTTCCCAACACCATCGCTGGGACTGGCGGTGGGACTTTGCGCCACGGTGCCGGAGGACTTGATGGAGAACTTGAGGTGTCCGAGTTCGGTTTCGCGCTGCTTCCTGGTGTTTCGGAGTGACTGATGAGCTGCTAGGAAGGTGGAACTCCCGGCGAAAACGCATTGAGCGACCTGCTGGAGCTTCCCCTAAGCTAGTGGATGGATTGGCTATCATGCTGACCTTTGGGATTATAGGGCAGGGGTTCTCTTGGGATATTGCTATCATTTCCCAGACACTCGGTTTATGGATTATATACCCTGGGAGTCAAAGACTATCAAAAGAATGGTCTTTAGGGGACCTGAGTTCGGGAACTTCCTTTACTTCGGCCGGTCAATATATAGTCGAACTGGACTTCTAGGGTATATGCTTACATTGACCACTCTTGAACCACCTCCTGGCCTGTTGAGAGTGCCAGTCCCAGACAGGTCGGGTTTGGGTTGGATATCTTAGGACCGAAGTGGAGTCCTTCAAGTTCGGGTTTCGAAGTACGATTCGGTGGGTTCTCTTCGGTTCCGATCTCCAGAATCAATTATCTTGGCTTTTGGGGGTGTTTTGGTGGTTCTAAGGTTCTATGCAGTTCTGTCTGTTATAGGATGTTAGGGGATGATTAGATATGACATACTGACACTGACGGTGTTTATGTCGCTCAACTACCAGCACCCTCCTGGCCAGGCTGTTAGTTGAGGGTTGTTGGACCCTAACAGGTCTCAATTGGTGACCTGTCGGAGGGTCCTGGTACACAGGATGAGTGGTCTTTTGGGGATCTCAGCGGCGCCCGAGAGTAGCGAAGTTGTCTCTCCCAGGGAGGGACCGATGTGCACCCTCCCCGTGGCTCGGTGTCGGATGTGTGGTTATTGTTTAATTGTTAGTTATTTGGCTGGTCATATTCCTTCATTTTATGGTTTTCCTTGATGTTTGAAGAGTTTTGAGGACTTATGTTTGATGCACTTCTTCAAATTTGTTCTCCTCTCCCCCTGTCTCTGTGTCTATTCCCTCTAAGATGTTCTAAGATGTCCTTTGATAGCTGCAAAAATGTAATTTGAAACAGCTTGACAGTGAACAAACGTGGTGGAAACTGCAGGAAGACATACCTGAACATTGTTAACTTACATATACTTACATGTTTCTGTGTTCTATGATGTTCTATAAGCCTCCAAAATGTAAACTCCGACTTTTCCTGGCGCCGAAAAAAAGCTGCTGATTCTGCTTTGACATGGTGAGAAATGCCATACTATTCAATGAAGCCTCAAACATGTAACTTGCATTTTTGGATAAATGTATATAAGTTGCATTTTTCTGGCCTATTGGATGTCGAACCAATTCAGAAGCCTCACAATTGTAAGTTACAATTTGTCAGGTAAATTAGTATTTGTAAGTTACATTTTTGAGGTATCAAACCTAGGAAATTGTAACTTACAATTAGGTGAGGCCCACCCTAGGTAATCGGTAGGGATATTAAAATCATTAAATGTGTAGACTATAGATGAATATTGTCATGTTATTTGAGAGTTTCCGTCTGAGCGATGAAGTTAGAGAGATGCGACGTGAAAACTCCTAATATTCGTGAACAGACAAACATAGCAGCATCAATTCTGAACATTCGTACCCTACTGGAACTGCTACTGTTCCAACTACCCTGACCTACACTCCCTGGAAACATGTTTTCGTTTGCTCCCAAGTCGGATGTCTTGTCGCAAAAAGCGCTTCCTACCGAACCACCTTGCCACCAATTGCTGTAGTGGTTCTGGCCGAACCGCCCTTGTTTCACTAAGGATGTTAGATTACAAACCCCAGGTCAACGATTCATGATAGTTTCCCAAGGGGCCTGGCTGAGACACAAGATCTGCACCGATTTGCACCTTCATTGCCAGGTTGGTGGCCTTTGAAGTGGCCGCCGGCTGCATGAAGTGGAGGATCCTCCGCTTTTCGCGAAGCGGATCCCATCGGGAAGCAAGGATCTTCATTGAAGTCACATGACACCAACACTACATCTCCCTGGAAGACCACATGGTGGTTACGTGGAGAGTGGATGGAGAATGGCCCCAAGTTCGGAAGACCATGAAATCCACGATCAACAGGTGTTCTTTTCCCACTTCCATATTAATTCCAGGGAGAGTACCCCCCCAAAAAATACGATTGGCTCAGACGCGGGAACCCGTTCCCCGTGGTGTTTGGCCCTCTTCAACACCCACCAGGCTGAGTGAAAGGACGCTACGACGTCCGGGGCGAACCTGAAGAACGCGTAGCGAACGGAACTAAGAACGCCAACGAAAACGGGGGCGGTGAACTGGCCGAAGGAAACGAGGAGGGATCGGACGTTACGTTTCGGGGCACAGTTCCATCGAATCTGGGGCCCGGAAGCAACACATAGGGCGGCCAGGTGAGGGCCCAGACTCCTGTGGGCGCAGTGGTCGGGTCCGACCATGGGCTGAGCCCGTTCGGATGCGAAAAAGGTCCAAAGACCATGAGAAGATATGGCTTCATTGAAGCACCGGAAACTCCGACCTGAAGGGTCCCAGAGTACTTTGGGACCCAAGTGGGCCCCACTGGGATCGAAGGTTTTTCCAAAGAAAATGTAGCAGTTGCTCTTCGGGTTTCACATGAGTCCTTGGACCGGAACTCATCATCGGTGTCGTGCCCGCTGCACCCGCTATTGAAAAGCGTGTTCGGATGGACGACTTCGTGGTCATCCGAAGACTGAAAAGGGGGCCCACATACCATCTATCAGCATGATGAGTCCAGGGAGTGTGGAGGAAGAAATTCAAAGCCTGCTATACCGGGACTTTGCAACTGTATAACATATACCTGGACTTTGTTAAACAACTGTTCATCCTGCTAATTTGTATACAGAATTATGTTTGTCATCCATTTAAAGAACGAAGGCAGAACTTTGGCAGATGGAAGAACCAGGTATGGAATTTGAGGGACTGGTCCTGCGGAGAAGCACGGAGCGTGTGGGTAGGTGCAGGCAGGGGATTCTGGAAGCCCAGACCGTTGGGGCAGGTCGTATGACCTGCAGCAGTCGGTAAACACTTATCACTTGTCCCTATTCTAGAGAAAGGCCTTTACTAATCACTAATCATCATCATCATCATCATCATCATCATCATCATCATCATCATCATCATCATCATCA